GTGGATTGCCCGGGAATTTTCTCCCTGATCTAGGAATTTGATTGGGACTAAAGTATCAAGGTATATTACCATTTTATGGCTTCTCTTCCCGTCTTTCTTTGGTGTTCTGAAGAAACAAGAAGAGCAGCTATAATTCTCTCTTCTAGTTTTGTCTTTGTAGTGTAAGGAAGTAGCCGATTATGCTCTGTTGTTATTTTCATCCGTTACCCTTCCCCATGCTAGAACTTAGTAAAAACTTTATATTTTAATCACACATGGACTCTCAGTCTGAATTATTTTACTCCGGCTCTGCTGGGCTATATTATCTCTGCTAAATACCATTTTTTTTCAATATCTCACTATCACCCAACAGAAACCCCAGCTTGTCATTCTTTTTATCAGTTAAAAAACACCTTCACTCTTTTGCATGCTGATTTAACAAGCCACCCTGGCTATATACAACCATGATCCACAAGTCCACTTCCTTGTCTGACAGTGTGTGCATGCACACAAAAACCTCCCACCTTGAATAAAACTTTGCGGGTCTTAAAGGTGCCACTGGGCCACTGACTTTGCTCTAGAGCCTTATAATAGCTTACCTGCAGTTTTTGTAAAAAAAAAAAAATCAATCAAAATTTCAAAAGAGAAACTGGATCCCCACCAATGCTCCCTTCTTAGCTGTGGAGTCCTGTGAGCAAAAAAAATCTACTTTGTGAGCTACTGGCATCAAAGTTGTGAGTGAGCGATTTGGCTGCTGCAGGAGTTGGTCTGCTCTGGAGCCGTCCTTCCTGAGTGAAGACCCCCCAAAAAATATGTATGAGCTGGAGGCTCAAAAACTGTGAGCTACCTCGCACTGACTCAGCTTAGAGGGAACACTGATCCCCACCCCCTTCCAGAACACGAATATTTTGGCTACCCTGTCTAAGGCCGTTCCCCCCCCTCCATCTGGATTCCATCTGCTGTTGCCCAGCAGAAAAAAACACACCCACCTCTTTCTATCTCCCCCCTTCCCAAATTCCCGATGTATTTACAACCCGTACATCAAAGGAGCTTCAGTCCCTGCGGAGGGGGGGGTTGTAAAGACCCATTTCCTTCTATTAGCTGGAAGGCTTTCCTGACTGAATACCCAGGCCGGGCCTGATCAAACAGGGGGAGTGGGCCGGCCGGAAAGAAGGGGAAAGGTTTTAAAGGACTTGGGGGGGGGGGGTTTAAATTGGCACTCACTAGCTCTAAGGGCTTTGTTCCCCCCCCCCGTAGGTTGCAGGTTGCGTAAGTTGGCTCCCGCTAATTGGCTGGAAGAAACTCGGGTGTCCTCCTCTCCTCTCACACGACGACGGGAGGACCACTTCCTACGTGGCGCGTCCCACACAGATCTGTATTTCGGTGTGCAAAACACGGCAGGCAAAACCGGAACACTGAAGACACAGCTAAAGGACTGCATCTGATGGCTGAAGGCACATTTATACCCTGTGCGCCAAAAGCCATCCGTGGTGGTTAGGGGTGGGAGGCATCTCTGCAAAAACCTGGGGACTCACCGTACAGTCTTGGCGGCTAGAAGAACCGCTTCGATTGCTACACCCAGGCCACGTTGAGTCTGGAGCAGCAGAACAAAACTGGAGTCCAGTGACAATTTAAAGGTTCAGGTTCCCTTGCTCGAAAGCCAGTCGAATCCGACTCTAGGGTTGCGGTGCTCATCTCCGCTTCAAAGCCGAAGAGCCAGCGCTGTCCGAAGACGTTTCCGTGGTCATGTGGCCGGCATGACTAAACCCCAAGGCGCACGGAACGCTGTTACCTTCCCACCGAAGTGGTACCTATTTATCGACTTGCAGTTTCTTGCTTTAGAACTGCTAGGTTGGCAGGAGCTGGAACTAGAGACGGGAGCTCACTCCGTCTTACGGCACCCGGGTCTTGAACTGCTGAACTACCGACCTTCCACAGCCTGCAGTTCAGCGTCTTAACCACTTGAGCCACGCAGACCACCAAAAGCTTCCAGGGTATTGGCTTTTGTAAGTCAACGCGCACGTCATCGGAACGGAAGGCTTGTACCCTGGAAAGGCTGAAAAGAGCAAGAGTCCAGGAGTATCTTAAAGACTAACAAAATCTGTGGCGGCTCCCACCCTGCCACAAAGTTTGTTAGCCTTTTAAGGTGCCACTAGACTTTTGCTCTTTTCTGAAGAAGTGAGCAGCGACTCACAAAAGCTCCTCCCCTGCCACGTATTTGGTTAGTCTTTCAGGTGCTCCTGGACTCTTGCTCTTTTCTGCTGCTACAGAGGTATCTGAAGAAGTGAGCAGTGACTCACAAGAGCTAATGCCCGGCCACAAATTTTGTGAGTCTTTCAGGTGCCACCGGACTCTTGCTCTTTTCTGAAGAAGTGAGCGGTGACTCACGAGAGCTCATCCCCTGCCACAAATTTTATTAGTCTTTAAGATGCTACTGGACTGCTCTTTTCTACTGTTACAGACAGACAAACACGGTGGCCCACCATGATCTGCCCCCATGGAAAGGTCTGTTAAGTCTTCAAGGTGCTACTGGGCTCAAATTTGGCTTGGCGAGCGGGTGTGTGTCCCAGACAGCACTCAGTTCTATCAGACTTATGCCCACTTTGACAGCCCGCTTCGGCCCATCGCTCCGGCCAAGAAGAGACCCACGGAACTTGGAAACAGCTACGCAGGATGACAACGTCCGTTCCCCCCCTCCCAAAAGAGCCTTAGTCATTCCTGAGGATCCCACATTTCTACAACGGCACCCAACAGCCTACCCACTCTTTCACTTAAAGAGCTTCTTTTCAGACTCAAAGCCAGCTTTGGCAGCACTAACAAAAAACTTCACCGGGACATAACTCAAAGATGTAGAGCTCTGCTTATACCCCACCCCCGTTCTCTCATCTAAGGGGAGGGCCCTCCCGCGACCCCTAAGATGGCGCACTCCCAGAGTTCACGCACATCTTCAGACACCAGTGCACAAATTCAAAGCAGCCAGGGGAAACTCCCACAAGCCCCGGATGGAGCTGGTTCCAAACAGCTGCTCTTTTACGGCCTCTTCCAGAAGGGCCCCAGCAAACTCCAGCCAGTTTTGCCCCAGGCCGAACGTTTCCAGCCCGGCAAGCTCTTTCCCGCTCACACCCCGCCACCACCAAATTACAAAATGGAAAAATTCAGAGCCGGGGTGACACGCAGCCGTGGAGATACTCATCTTCAGAGAGCGCTGTAAAGGAAAATAAAAGGGGAGAGAGAGGGTGACCCTGTCTCTGACATGGCAGGGGAAATCTGCTTGCGCAACACAAGAGCGCTTATGTCATGGCGCACGTGAAGGCCCCCCCCCCCCCCGGCATGACCAAAGTGCCTTTGCTTTGCTAAAACCCATCAGCTCCACCCGAAAAGTGCGCACCGCTGACGGAAGAGGCTGGAAAGCACAGGGCTGAATGCAAACAAAAAGAAGAGTTTAAAGTCGAAGGAGTGCTCCTCTGGTGAAGCCGTCCACAGAGGTGGCTTTCTCCCAGGTTCATAGTCAAACCCTGGCAGGGCTACGCCTTTGATCGGCGCAGCTGCAGCCCTCCCTGAAAGGGGCACGTACCTCCAAAGGGCACCCTGGAGATACTTCTTTTTGTAGAAAAAGCCCAGCAGGAACTCATTAGCATAATAGGCCACACCCAACAGCAGGAACTCATTAGCCTATTAGGCCACACCCCTGACAGCACAGCTCATTAACCCATTAGGCCGCACCCCCAAGTTACCAGAAGTGTGGTTATCCAGCCACACCCACCTTTTGCTTGTTATTCTGTTTACCTTGTTTGTTGTCAAAACCCAGGGCTTTTTTTGTAGCAGGAACTCCTTTGCATGTTAGGCCACACACCCCTAATGTAGCCAATCCTAATGAGTTTCTGCTATTGGGTGTGGCCTATTATGCTAATGAGTTCCTGCTGGGCATGGCCAACTTGGGAGCCAGCCGGAACTCCGTTCCTGTGCGTTCCTGCCCAAAAATAGCCCTGCTTAGCGACATCTGCAAGAGCCAAAGCCAGGTTTTGGCGCACACACAATGCCAGATCCTAGCCTAGTCCCAGGACAGGGACGGAGGACATGTGACGATCAGCAGTGTAGGATCCGGACCAGTCAATGACCGGATGGGTGACCTCCCAGGACACCCTGCCTCTCTAGGACATCCCCCCCTTTCCATAAACGGCTTTGTGCTCCACCACTGACGACAAGTAGGATGAACACACACGCTCACAAGACAACGCGGAACGAGTTCCAAGCAAAACTCGCTCACAAGACAACGCGGATCGAGTTCCAAGCAAAACTTGCCAAACTATGCACATCAAGCCGTGCGTACCTTCATAAACATGCTGCGGCCTTCTACTAAATCAGACCCTTGGTCCATCAAGGTCGGTATTGTCTACTCAGACAGGCAGCTGCTCTCCAGAATCTGAGGGGAAGGTCTTTCCCAGCAGCTCCTGCCCAGTCCTTTTAACTGGAGATGACAGGGAACTGAACCCAGGACCTCCTGCACGCCAAGTAGATGCCCTACCGCTCCACCACGGCCCCCTTTCCCCTATCACAACGCATCAGTACCTATTGTGGAACTCGGTTCCCGGATTTGGATAACTCCACGGGCAGATTTCTGTGGTGTACAAAAAACCTTGCGACAGCACAGACTCATATGTCACCAACAACCTCCCCCCCCACCCCAGCAGGGCCACTTCCCAAAAAATGACCAGCCAAATATGACAGACACCGCAGTGTACCCTCTAAGCTGAGTTAGTGTGAGCTAGCTCACAGTTTTCTAGCCTCCGGCTCACACATTTTTGTCTTCGCTCAGGAAGGATGGCTCCAGAGCAAACTAACTGATGCAGTAGCCAAATCACTCACTCACAATTTTAGTGCCAGGGGCTCACCAAGTATAATTTTTGCTCACAGGACTCCACAGCTTAGAGGGAGCATTGGCAGTCGGATGTTGCGGGTGAGATCCGCAGCCTAGAACAAGGAGCGCGATTGGCATCCACGGAAGCCCGTCCGTTACTTACTTGCTTAAACTGTTCCTCGTAAGTCCAGTCTCCGTGATCCAGGGCTTGGGTCGGCAGCTGGGCGTGGCCCAGGTGGGCAGTCCCGGACGCCAGCCGCTCCTGGGCCCCCGCCAGCCTCGAAGCCTCCCCCCGGTACTGTTGCGGGGGCTGCTGTTTCCGGAGTAGCACGGCGCCCGGGTTGGAGCGGGCCGCTTCTCCGGAGCAGAGGCCTTCCTCCGCCATTTCTTCATCCTCTTCGTAATCTTCCTCCTCCTCCTCCTCTTCCTCTTCTTCCTCCTCCTCTCCCAGGTCTTCCTCAAAATCGTCCTCGACCCACTTGCCTTTCCTGGGGGGGGGAAGTGAACAAGGGGAGATGGAAAAGTCAGGGCACACCCCGAGAGAGAGAGAAGGGATGACTCCCCAAACGCCGACCCTTTTCCAACTGTATTTCATTTTAGTAACTGGTTGCTAAAGGATTTCCCCCTGTCATTTCAGAGAGAACCATTTTAGTAACCGGCTCCAAGTGGAATTTATTTCCCTATTCATACGTTGGGTTAGCAAAACGTGGTTGAGCCGCTTTTGAAGGAAATGGTTTCCTTCCGTTTTCTACCCCTTTGTTGAGCTTCCCAATCGCTGTGGTGTCCTGTATAAAATGTCCACAGCACTTCGAAGAAGAAGAGATTGGTTTTATACCCCGCCCTTCACTCAGAGTCTCAACTTAGAACGTTAATTTTTAAAAAGTCCGAGGAAGATCAGGCGGCAAAAACGGGTAGGGAAAAAGCGGCAGCATTTGAAATGACTGTACCGCTTCAGAGACAGCTCATTAACAGAAGGAAATTCGCTGGATCAAACCCCAGACCCTGTATCGTTTTATCGTAACGTGAAAAGGGCCACAGTCTCTGAACAAGACCAGTAGGTTTGAACCCGCAATCTGCTGCTGGAGCTCGCTGGGTGACCTTGGGTAAAGGAACATCCTGTCAGCCTAACCTACCTCACAGGGTTGTTGTGAGGATAGAATGGCGGAGAGGGAAAATGATAGAAGCCACCTTGGGTACCCACATCTGGAGGTCCAGCAACGGGATACAGAGCCCGAAGCTTTCCCCTGATGTTGCCTCCTGGCACAGGTATCCAGAGATTGACTGCATCTGAATGTGGAGGTTCCCTTTAGTTACCATGGCTAGGACATTGAAAATGAAGGGTTGAATCCCATTGATCTTTTATGCTAGCAGTGATACCTTCCTCCTGCACCAAAAGCCCTCCTCTGACGTAAACCTTCCACTAGGACTGCTTCACTGTTAGTGGAACAGATAGCCACTGATTGTCCTCTCCTGTACTGACAGGCTTATGCTCCATCTCTGTGACCATTTGACTTGGGCTAACCACCCTGTGGTGATTTAACCCTAAACAAACCGTCAAGCAGTCAGTCCCGGAGACAGCACCAATGGAAGCTGACCTCTCCTTTTTATTTTATTTTATTTTTAAGGAAAGAGCTGGGGTGCCCCGTACCACCCCAGGACACGGCACGGGCATAATAGTATTGCCCCATAATTGCAGTGGTACCCAGTGGGTAGAGAAGAACACCCACTTCTTTCGGAGATTAACTGATTTTTGCTTCCCAGTCCCTTTCAAGAAGAAAAGGTGTTCCGCAGCGAACAGCAGAAACCGGGATACGACCTCCCATTCGGTCTCTGACCAGCTTGAGCACTTATACTGTCTTAACCCCTGCATGAGTCTGGCACAGAAATAGAATACAGCTCCCTTGAAGGAGCAAGTGGATCCCACCACCACATGCCTCTCAAGTAACCTCTCCTCATGTCTGGTGGATCCCCAAAAGGACAGAGACGAAAAAGGACTATGCTGGGTTGCTGGATTCCACCCTTCCCTTCGTTAAGAAGAAGGAGAAATTTTATACCCTTCACTACCCAAAGGAGTCTCAGTGTGGCTTACAATCTCCTTTCCTTTCCCCTCCCCACCACAGACACCCTGTGAGGTGGGTGGGGCTGAGAGAGCTCTGACAGAAACTGCTCTTTTTCAAGGACAGCTCTGACAGAACTATGGCTTGCCCGAGGTCATCCAGCAGCCGCAAGTGGAGGAGGGGGGGAAAAAACCCCGTTCTCCCAGATTACAGTCCGCGCTCTTAACCATTACACCAAACAAAGGCGAGTTGTAGACCTTGTGAGGGGCAGGGGTGAGAGGAGAACACCTAGGGGGGTAAAATTCACCCTGGCGTTTTTTTGTTTTTCTGTTTGTTTCACTTCACCGTCAGGCTGGAAAGTTTCAAAGCGGGCCAGGCACACCGGTGGTCCACCCACCCGCAGGCACACTCTCAAAAACAAGTCAAACCGGTTTTTCAGAGCCTCGCTCCCATTTTTATTGCCTCCTGACCCCAGCGCCGTCAGGGAGGGGCCTCCTCACAGCAAAACAGGAAGGCCGCCCAGCGAGCGCCTCTGCCCTCCCCTCCCCTCCCCCACTTTTATTTCTAAGAAACAAACAGAACACCGCTCTGGTCGAGGGTCCTTCAACCTCCTCAAATCATTTCAAATAATCTGTTAGAAGCGACATTCATTCCATTCCAAATTTCTTCTTCTTTGGCCACAGATGCTGTTAACAGTTGCCAGGGGTCATTTTGTAGAAAAAGAGGTGCAGGAGCTCATTAGCGTAACTCATCTGCCCTCATAGAGGAGGGAGAGCTTGTACCTGAAGGCGGGCCGGGGGGGGGGGGACTCTGCAACTTACCTGGCTGCTTCTTGCTCCTCGTGGCCCGACTGAGGGCTGCTGGGAGCAGGGGGTGGGGCTTGTTGCATGTGCCCGCCCCCTGGGCTCCTTACTGCCGGAGCTCTGCTCCTGTGTGCTCCCACAGGAAATGACCCCTGCACACGGGGAGGGATAAGGGGGCACCCCCCTTCAGGGGAAATCACCAGGTGAAATCAGCATTCGATCTCAGCACGGGGTGGTCCAGATCCCGCTCGGGAGGAGGACAACTCAGATGGGACCTCCCCCCCAATGCCTGACCCCCACCCCACCCTGTCTGTGACCCCCATTAGTTCACATTCAGCAAATACTTACACCTCCTCTTCTTCCTCAGAGCCCATTTCCCGAGGGTACTCTCCATCCTCTTCTTCCTCGCCACGCTCCTCTTCTTCCTCCCCTTCAGAGGACCGGCTGTCCTCCGAGGCCACCGGACTGGAAGACTGGCTGAGGCCAGCGGCTGCCGCCCGCATCGCCGCCAGCGCCGCCATCTGCGCCCTCTGTATCCGGACGCTCTCCAGCTCTCCCGCCTCCTCCGAAGGCGGAGGCTCCTGACTGGGGCCGCGGGACATGGTCGAAGCCCCTGTGCCCGGCAGGGCGGGGCCCTGGCCCGTTGCCGGAAGGGCTGTCCGCATCTGGTCCTGCTGCTGCTGCCGCGCTTCCATCTCCTGTTGCAACCGGGCCCGCTGCTGGCGCTGCAGGTTCTCCATCACTGCCTGCAGCTTCATGGCTCTGCCGGCAGGGGGCGGCGCCTGGGCCGCGGGTGGCGCGGCAGAGGTGGAGCAATGCTCCGAAGGGGCGGGGCCCAGGCGTCCCGGGGGAGGCCCCGGGGGACAGCGTTCGGTGGGGTGCAGCGCCGTGGGGGAAGCTGGCATGGGGGGGCCTCGCCCCCGCTGTCCTAGGGAAGGGGAGGACGTCAAGAGCAGGGACCTCTTACGAGGGAGGAAGAATCCTCAGGCGGAACAGCCGCATCAGCTAGGGCGGGAGGCCATTCAGGCACCCGTGGGGGCGGATCCAAGAAATCGGTGACAAATAAGAAAATTAAAGTTCCACCAACAGCATTGCTTCCAGAAGCGGCCAAGCTCCTGCAGCACAAACTCCCTCAGTGGGCACAACCAGAGCACTGCACAGGCCGAACTGAAGCTGCGGCCTGGTCTCGTCCTTGCGCCCTCACGTTTCTCCAGTCTGCGGGTGCCCCAGTAGCCAGCCGGACGCTGCTCTCCCAGGTCTTCATCTAGGTGTCAGCAAAAACCCTGTCCAAACAGACCGGGGAGGGAAAAAAAGACAACAGCAAGTTAGAGAGGGGAGGACAAAAACCAGTTTCTGTTTCCCAGCACGCCAGGCGGTGTACAAAGGCCCCAAGCAGTGGCTCGAGCTGAATTAGTCAAGCTCGGAGATAGGGACCAATGAACAGACAATTTTATTTTATTTTTTTAATTTCTCCACGTATTGGGACCCATATTGCTTTTCTCATCATATTTGCATCCCAAGCGGCTTATATCTTTAGCCTCTTCTCCATTTTATCCTCACAACGGCCCTGTGAGGTAAATTAGGCGGAGAAGGTAGATGAGGGTGAGAAAGCTCGCCTAGCAAGCTTCCGCAGCACAAGTGAGGATCTGAACCTGGGTCTCCCAGATACCAGTCCGACACTCTTAGCCACTATGTCCCACCGGCTTCTCACAGACCATCTTGAGCAAGGAAAGCATGAGGGGAGACTATCTGAATTGAGATCCCCACAGAAGCAGAAGCATAAAGGGTTTGAAGCTGGAATTCGGACCACGGGAACCAGAGGGCGGGCGGAAAGTTGTAATTTTATGGGGGTGGGGGAAGAAGAGGCCTTTGAGCTTTTTTGCCAGGAAGGAAAGAGCAAAAGCCTTGGCGGGAGAGGAAAGGCGGTTTCGGCAGGCCCAGTATCGAGTTACGGTGATGCGCCATTCTCATTCACGTAAAACCCGGGCGGGTCAGCAGCCGAGGTCTCAAAAAAAATACCAGCCTTCAACAACTGCCTAGCTTAGAAGCAATTCTCACAATGCGGGCAGTAGTCAAATGACCAGGATTTGTCCCACTGCTGTGATGTCAAGGCCTGCATACTGGTAACAGAACGTTCCGGAAAAGGGGGCGGGAAGGTATTTCCATGCATTTTCTCCCCTTTCCCCTCCTTTTAAATAACTTTTTCTTTCTACCCCCATTCCCAGTCAACTCTGCACTGGCCCTCTTGGGGCCGCCAGGGCAATTCAGCAGTCCCTTTTTATTCTCCTGGGAATATGTTGTGTATTTTATATTGATATTTATGCCGTTGGTTTTATCTATTGCTTTCTTATGTAAGCTGCCTTGAGCCTGCCTTGGCGGGGTAAAAGGCAAATAAATAAATAAATAAATAAATTTCCCAAAAGAAGCTCTTTTCCAGTTGATCAAATGATTTTAAAAAAAAAATCTGGCCTTTCTACTATTAAATACACACACACACACACACGTACACACCCAAGGCAGCATCACAAATGACAGGTGGGAAATTTCCCACAGAAACAGATTCGAGTACACTAATATCGTAGAGACCAACTTCTAAGGCTGAGGCGTCAAACGCATTTGTTACGGGGGCCGGATCTGACATAAACGTCACTATGTCCGGCCGGACCATGTGTGCCATAAAAAATAATGCCAGGAACGGGATATAAGCTGTATAAAGGACACAGGCAGACCCAAGTAATGATAGAGCAAGACAGGTAGCCATGTGTTAGTCTGTCTGTAGCAGCAGAAAAGAGTAAGAGTCGAGTAGCACCTTCAAGACATCACAAAATTTGAGGCAGGGCCTGAGCTTCTGGGGGCAGTAACTCATGAACGCTCACACCAAGTAACGATATTATTTTACTCAAAATACAAACATGCTTTGAACATTAACACTCTTACAGTATTTCCTCCAAGTATCTCCCCGATGCCCGCCCTCCCTGTGACGCATCAGCACTGGGACAATATACAGGGACATAAACACACAGCCTCTGTCATCTGGCGATAAAGGTAAATGACCAGTCACCTGCAGGCTGGATTAAAAGCCCTGGACGGGCCGGTTCTGGCACACGGGCTGTATGTTTGACACCCCTGCTCTAAGGTGTCTCTGTGCTACTGGACTCGAATCTACGGCAGTCCAACATGGCTAGCCTCCGAAACGATTCCCATTAAAAGCTTTTTGCAATGGCCCTGACCCTGGATAGCCCAGACAAGCCCGATCCCATCCAGTGTTCCCTCTAAGCCGAGTTAGTGTGAGCTAGCTCACCGTTTTTTAGCCTCCGGCTCACGCATTTTTGTCTTAGCTCTGGAAGGATGGCTTCAGAGCAAACTAATTTATGCAGTAGCCGAATCGCTCGCTCACAACTTTATTTCGCCCCCCAATATACATTTATTTTATTAAACATACACCACAGGCATACAAACACGAACAATACTCGCTCACAACTTTAATGCCAGTAGCTCCCAAAGTAGAATTTTTGCTCACAAGACTCCACAGCTTAGAGGGAGGATCGGTTCCCATCAGATCTCGGAAGCTAAGCATGGCCGGCTGGCAAGTACTTGGAAGGGAGACCTCCAAGGAATACCAGAGGCAGGATGCAGAGGTGGGCTACTCAAGCCACCTCTCTGAAAAACATCCAAGCCCCCAGTAGGAGTTGCCAGAAGTCAACTATGACTTCCAGGCAAGCACACACACACACACACACACACACACACACACACACACACACACATATAAATTACAGGGCTTTTTTTCTGGGGGAATGCATCGGAACCGAGTTCAGGAACCTCTTTGACAAAATTCTTTCAAAAAATGTTTCAAAGTTTGTGAGTTTTCAGTATACAGACTGAAAACTTCATATATAAATATAAGAACGCTTTCTGCAGGGGAGGACTCCCCAGGGATTCTTTATTCTGCGGATGCTGTCTCATCCCTAATGGCTCTTCATTGCAGAAAACAAGAATGAGCAGGTGCCACTGCTAATTTATTAAGCAATATCATTTTCAAAGTTGTAATTCATGTTTTTCAGGCAATTATCCCCAGGAACTGTGTGGCAGAGAACGTGTATGATTTATTGATTTGTGGAGAGAAATACAAACACATGTACTAATCCAACACTCCCCCCGCCAAAAAAAACCCCATGAAGCTGATTCAATGGGCAGGTCAAATCAAAACCGAAGCTAAAATTTCTCTCTTCTAGCCCTCCTCTTGCATAGTAAGGCACACATCATAACTCCCTACCCTGCTATAAAACCAGGGGTCATTTCCTGCAGGAGCGCACAGGAGCAGAGCTCCAGCAGTAAAGAGCCCAGGGGGGCGGGCACATGAAACCCCCTGCTCCCAGCAGCCCTCAGTCAGAGCAAGAAGCAGCCAGGTAAGTTGCAGAGCCCCCCCCCCGGCTCCCCAGCCCAAAACAGTCCAGTGGCACCTTTAAGACCAAATTTTATTCAGGTACAAACTCTCCCTCCTCTGCGAGGACAGATCTGCATGTCCCCCCCCCCCAATATCTAGCAATCCAAAACAGTCCAGTGGAGCCTGAGCAGTGGGAGTTGCCTTCTGACACACTTCTGGTGATGTCAGGGGGTGTGGCGTATGCAAATAAGTTATGCTAATGCGTTATGCTAATGAGCTCCTGCACCTCTTTTTCTACGAAATGACCCCTGTATAAAACTACAAAGCCATGCAAGGAACACTAGAGAGAAGGACAGTGAACCTGAAGTGCCCCAATGACCCTTTTCAGATCAGGGGATGGCCACATCTATGGAATTGCAGGCACTGCTCTCCAGTGTAAGGGCATAAGAGAAGCCATATTGGGTCAGGCCAATGGCCCATCCAGCCCAACACTCTGTGTCACACAGCGGCCAAAATCCAAGTGCCATCAGGAGGTCCACCACCAGCAGGGCCAGAACTCCAGAAGCCCTCCCACTGTTGCTCCCCAAGCACCAAGAATACAGAGCATCCCTTGCCCCAGACTGAGTGTTCCATCTATAGCTTGTGGCTAACGGCCACTGATGGACCTCTGCTCCGTATGTTCCTCCGTTCCCCTCTTGAAGCTGTCCATGCTTGTAGCTGCCCCCACCACTTCCTGTGGCAGTAAATTCCACTTGCTCATTACACTTTCGTGTACAATAAGGCAGAGTTACTCCACTCAGAGCTTATTAATTTCAATGGAGTTTAGTCTACCCACTGCTAGTGCGCCAACAGTTTTCAGGAAATGCATGAGTCTGACTTATACTGAACCAGACCCTTGGTCCGTCAAAGACAGGACCGTCTACACAGCCTGGCAGCAGCCCTCCAGGGTCTCAGGAAGAGGTCTTTCACATCACCCACTACTGGAGCCTTATAAAGTGGAGATGCTGAGGACTGAACCTGGGGCCTTCATGTGCCAAGCAGATGCTCGGCCACTGGACCATGGTCCTTGCCAGAGAACCTCCCCCACCCCTTAAATTTAAACTACGTAAGGGAAGTTTGTGCTATCTGGTCTTCAAAAAATGTACAGGTATTATCCCAACAAAAATAATTTCCGCATAAAGTTCGAAATCTGTTCCAATATATTATTTAAACCACACGTGGCTCATTATTTCCTAGGGAACTATTTCAATTCAAGTATTGGTTGTTATTGGGACACAGGACATTGTTATTAACTTGGGGGACCATTTGAATTTCGTTGACTGACTATAATTAAAAATCTACTGAATCAGACCACACTCTGTTTAAGGCACTGGAAACATTTCCCCAATGGGTATTTTTCCAGAAAGCCCACATTGCTAATGTGGCGTACAACCTTACTTAAAAGCAAAACAAAGACACCCCCTAAAACACACAATGCTTAATATCTCAATGCCAAACTAAAATAACGGTATTTTCAAAAAAAACAGCAAGCTGGCGCTATGTCAGACAAGAAGCACCGAGAAAAGCTGTGAGGGCAGAGGTAAAAAGTCACAAACGAAAAAGGGTCACACACAGCTGGATGTGTGGGATTCATGATATTTGAGGTGGGTTTTTGTCACCGAAACGCAACAACCACGCCAGTCCAAAAAACATATAAGACCACACACAGGACTTGTTAATTCCCATCTAAAAAGT